GGGGTCCTCACAGAGCGTCACACCCATGGCACCCACCCAGGGACACCCAGCTCTACCTGCCCCTGCTCAAACTTGTTGGATTTGTCTGATTTCTTCAGGGGCCGTTCGCCTGTGTCTCCATACTCCTCGCCATAGATGGTCAGGTAGACGTTGGCGTCAGTGCCAGCCTTGGGTACGTTCCCTGTGATCACCTGGACCTCATAGGTGTTGGCTGGAGACACAGAAAAACACAGAGTTGAGGACGCCAGGGCCCTGGGGTGAGCCCAAGACACAGCCTCTCAGATCTAGTCAGATGCTGGGAGCAGGACGGATACACGACACATCTGCACTAACCTGGGACTGAAACTACCCCTCCTCCTGACCCAGACACCTTCACCAAGAAACGGAGAGTGACATTTGGCTTTAGCATGGCCTCAGCATGGGCTCACACCCCCACGGTTAGTCTTAACAAATTCTGCCAGGGCTCCTGCCAAAGTTACTCATTCCTCCTGAGAACCTCAGGACAAGGGCTGTGCTTAACCCCAAACGGAGTGGTCAGTGGTGGCATTGCAGATAGGTCAGGAGAGCTGTCTGGGAATCACAAGGGTGCCACCTACTTGGCTTCCATGTGAGGGGAATCTAGGCACCCCTGCCCCCCACCAGCCCCCTTTAGGGGAACCATCTGACCCCTTCTTGGTCTTACGCTCAGGACCCGGCTGGCCAGCCGGCACCAGCTCCACGACAAGTTCATTGTCCTCCTTGCCCCGGGCCAGCCAGCGGTGGGCTTCAAACTTGTACTGCTCAATCACCTCCTGCATCCCCGGCCCAAACTCCTCCTCTTCCTCCTCCTCCTCGGTCTCCTCCTCTTCCTCCTCTTCCGAGGAGGACTCTTCTGATGAGGACTCCTCCTCCCCCTCCCCCTCGTCCTCCTCGTCGCTGCCCTTTCTCTTCTTCTTCTTCTTCCTCTGCAGCTTGGCCTTCAGCCGCTCCTTCTTCAGCAGCTGCCGCAGCTTGTCCTTCTCCTTCTTTTTGCGGGCCTCCTCCTCGGGCGTGAGCTCCACCTCCTGCACCACCAGGTGCCGTAGCCACACGGTGTCCACGAACCAGCTGGGCCCGAAGCCCTCACCCGTGTGCCCAAGCCGGATCTTGTAGATCTCGCCCACGTCAGCCGCCTCCAACTGTGCAAAGGGCAGAGGCTGGGGCAGAGCCTGGCTCGGGACATGCAGGCTAAGGGGCACTCACAGGTGTCCACCAGCTTCCTTGCTCCTGCCATGCCCAGCTTGGTTCCCCTGGCCTGGCCCCATTGTGCCCCCAAATTTATTTCTTCCCAACTGCTATGGTGGTCCAGCTGTCCCCATGTTTCTCTCTTTCTTTCAAACACACACACACACACACACACACTCATTCCTATTATTCCTACTTCCATATATCTATTCACCCAATTCCCTTCTCTGGCCTGCCTTTACTCTCTCCTCTACCCCTAACTGAGAACTATTCATTCTGAGTCCCATGCTTTAATACCTTTTCTCGCTTTTGTGTCTATGTCTTCTCTCCAAAATTTGTTAGTATTAAGCATGAATAACTTTTGTAATAAGCTTTAAAAAATGTGTTCCTTTTCAAAAACAAAAATGTCATATACTGGCCCCGAAGCCCAGGACTCTTCTGAGTACATGGCCACAGCCTGCCTGGCTGCCCCTACCCCAAGGGCTCAGGGACCCAGGGCGTAGTTCTGGTCCTGGACTGACCTGGGTGCCCTCTTCCTCCTCACAGCAGCTCTCTGCCCCTCAACTGTGAGTTTCCTAAGTGTGGGGATTATCATTTTTTTCATCTCAGCACAGCACATGACTGGCTCAAGGGGCAGTATTGATGGATTCCTCAGCCTTAGATGGAGTGGCCACTCCACAGCCCC